CAATTCCTTTTTATATTAACCAATGACGTAAAATACAATTTAGCACTCCATTCAAATAACTTTACCACAAAAAATGTTTTCCGATGCACCACACTCTTCAACAATTTCGTGGTGACCGCGAACAACACAAATTAATATTGATCTTTTTACAGTTTCGTAGGATATAGTGCTTTTAAATGGCAAGAATCTCTAAATAATACTCAGTTGCCTCCTGTATGCTTATTTCCCTCTCAATTTCCTGTGACTTTGACCTAATTTTCGGCGCTCGCGCGCCGTTACCTCCTGCAGCTGCGTCCTCAGAGCTCCACCGCTCGACCCTCGGCCTCCGCGCAGCCGATCGCGGGCCCCGGTTCGCCGGTGACTTCTCGCCGCCCTCTTACGTTGTCTTCTGCGACGCCTTTTACGACGCCTTCTGCGCCGTCTTCTGAGTCGCCTTACGGTCTTCTTCTCCCGCTTCCTTTCGTCCTCGTCTGCTTCGTCTCCCTCGATATTTGTGATTACGCCCGCGTGCAAATGTTTATATTATCTTATAGGGTAGATTTTACATTATCCCTACCAAAAGTTTAAAGAAAACAATTTTGAGCTATTTTTGAGAAAATCTTGTTTTTGTTATATTTTAACCAATTGCACATGTTGTACGCAATATTTCGCGAAAACTACTAAAAATTTCCAAAAAAATGTACGTGACCTTATTGAAAGAACTCACTACGGAGAATAAATTTTATTTGAAAGACAAATCCCTATCTTCAATTTTGTAGTTGTAGGAAGACGCCCGAAATTTTTTAAATTATTAAATTTTCGAAATTCCCCTACCCTTAGTATATTACTTCGTCTAAACGTACGTATATGGGAAAGTGAAAATGCTGGAAAGTTCGTTTTGCTATAGTTGTTGTAAGCAGATTATTGTGTTGGGTCGTTAACGACCTCGAGCGGTTTAAGAGTCCTGCAAGTTATCCGGGGAAAAGTTTAATCGAAAAGTTTGGAGCTATTTTTGAAACAATTTTGAAAATGTTGAGGCTTAATATAAAGTAGTCTACCCCCAAAATCGAATCCCTTTCACACACAGTGAGTCTCGATTTCATGTAAATCGATCGGGGAGTATCAATAGAGCGTTTGTGCCACATCGAACGTAAAGCACTATCGATCTTCTGCGCATGCGGAGTTTAAGTTTCAAACCACTTTAGTGCATCTACGCGTGCGCACAAGATCGATAGTTCTTTACTCACGAACGTTAAAAGCATTATCAATCTTCTGCTCTGCAGTTCAAGTGTCGCACCATTTTAGTGAATCTGCGCATGCGGAGAAGATCGATATTGCTGACGTTAAGGCTGGCAAATACTCCCTAATTTTGGAGAAAATCGTCTGAAAGAATTATACTTCGATTTTTATAACGCGTTGCGTCACAATGGAATTCATCACAATGGAATATCTCATGGCGTCCACGTCATTCTCGGTCGTGCCGCTAGATATAATACGCGCACGTTTTCTTGAGCCTCGGAATATCTACCCCTACCATTTGCCAACATTAGTTCTATTAAGAATAAATTATAGCAACGGCCGTTATGGACGTAATTTGATAGATGGATAGAGTTTGCTCCCGTGTAATAGAAACTATTTTTCATCGAAAAACGAACTACAAAACTTGATATAAAAGTTATTTCGTCAAAATGACCAAACACCTCACTCCTCTCGCAACTAGCCAGGGCCGGTTCACTCAATGTTAAAAGGCGGGGGACTAAGTTTGTTTCCTCACTCACCCGGACCTGGTGCAGATAGCGCAAGCTGTTGCGTTTTGGCGCCATTTTCAAAGTAAGGTTGTGCGAATTAAATTGGTGGCGCGTGTAGAGCATTATTCAGAGTATTATCTGCATTTTCTTTGATTCTCAGATTAACTTTATTTAAATAAATTTTTTAAATATTGTATTAGATGTTTATACTTAAACCAAAATTGTAAGTGATTTACTTATCGCTTAATTATTAAAAGCAGAAAAGGAGTGAAAACATGAAGTTTTAAATTGATCATTTCCTTATGTTTTGTTTTAGTTTTTTTTTTTTCACGATAGATACTATACATTTGAGGGGTCCTGGTGGGCAATACTGCCCTAACCCACAAAATTCTTTAAATGTGAGTACTTATAGTTTCATCACTTCTCATGTGTTCACAGTTTATGGAATAAGCTTGTAGCAACACCTTGTCCAGCATGGGTCAGAAAAAAGACATCTTTATCCAAAAAATCCTCTTTACTGTTAAAAACAACTTATTCACAAAAAAACTTACAAATAATATTAGACAGTTTTTGAAAATATTAAATTCTATTAATAGTTGTCCTGTTCCTTCTCCATTAAGATGTTAATTTTACCAATATATACAAGGAAAAAGTTAACATTATTAAATTAGTAAGATTAAATTCCGTTTTTATTAGTTTTTTACAATATTATTTTTTTTTTCTTAAGTAGTATCAAAAAAATTCCATTTTTTATTAATGCTTCTCTTCTCTAAGATGTTTATACTTTTGTGCATTAGCAAACATGTTACTCAAATTAGAATTACAAATTGCCTGAAGATTTATTGTTGTTATTCTGCAACACAAGCTCGGTGTGTGTATTGTCTCTTAAAATTGCTATTATCTACAGACAATGAATGCTAGCATAAAAACTAATATATCATACCAAGTCATTAGTAAATAACACTAAAAGTGTTTATTGTTCATTTCATAAGCATGCTCATTTAATGTATATAACATTGTAATTTTTTTTTCTCGAAATTCTTCAATTATGTGAAAAGCTTTAAAGAAAATATGGATATTCGTTGTATTAACTATGTAATTGACTTTAAGTCTTCATCTCTATAACTATAATATTTGTAATATTTGAAAAAAATAACTTAAATCAATGATTTTTAAAAGTTATCATTTGGTTATAAATCATTGATTGAATCATACCAGCCTTAATTTTTGGTCGACTTTATAGCCGAAAATGGAATTGTAATTTGATACAATATCAATCATTGTTATTTTGGATAAGTTTCAAAACCAAGGAAAATGAAACAAATTTAATAAATTATACTAGTTTTTATGTTTGGCAAGTTGATTTTGTCTTGTAGTTAGTAATAACAGTACCGGTAATATGCTTAGTGTTGCTGGGATTAAAGAGGGAATTTGCCAGTGTGTTACAAAAAAATCTTTGAAATGAAAATTTGTGAAGATATACAATTTAATGTGGCCAGTTTCTCCCTAAGTTTAGGCAATGCTTAACTTTAAAATAAATAACTGGCACCAATTTCTCTGTTTAGGCAGCAATACAAGATTTTTTTTTATTTCTATTAGGCTACCTGATTGGTTACTGCACATTCATGACAATATTTCCACCAAAGTCACACACAAACTTCCTACTAAACCTAACACATGGGCAGAACAATACTGAATTGTTATGCAAGACAGAATTTTGAGATATAGTAGAAAAATGGATTAATTTTACTATAATAATCAAAAATATTACATTAGGATTATTGTTCAGATGTTCATTTAGCAATTAAATTTGGCTACATTTAATTAAAAAATCATCTATAACTATATAACCGTTTCTAGCAGCTGAAGTATGTGAAATATCCAAAAAAGTATTATACTTATTTAAATTTTTAAAATAAACGTAGATAGTTTAGGGTATATTATTTATTACACACAGGTTTTTTATTACACATTCCAAAACGAAAGTTTTTTATTGGTCAACATTCAAATTGTTTTGATTATTTATTAATATATTCAGTGCTTGTTAGGGAAGTTTTTCTAAACAAGGGAAATTTTTATTCGAAATATATATTGCTGGAAATTAATATATTTGTCTATAATATCGAGATAGCGCACTTGCAGCATCAAGGGAAAAAAAGAGTTTCACTGGCACACTTGTAATAAAGATTCTTGAAAATGTCTGTTGAGAAGACAAACGGGCTGGCTTGTAGGAAAACACTGTTGATACAATTCAGTTTTTCTTCTAATGTTAGTGAAAGTCGAATTCACTTTGTATCTTGCCAGTTATCATACTGCAACTCGAAAGATACCTCCAGAATGGAAAAACTACCGCTACAACCTAAGCCAAATAAACTTAATACATTTTCATCATACTTAATGAGATGTAACCTATTCAGAAATGCAAACAATAATGAATTATTGTATATTTGAAAACTTAGACTTTGAATACCAGGGTATTGCAAACAATGAATATATGGGGATATACCAATGAACATTTTACAAAACGTGTCCAATACATACGAAAATAATATAACTACAATACTTTTAAACAAAAGAACAGAATAAATGACATTGTAGAGGTAGGTTATACTACATGGATTTACGGATTTTAAGACTATTTTGCATGGTGTAAATGTCAAAAATTGAAATAATCAATTAAATTATGCAACAAGATCCCAAATATGAATTATAAATACCTTCCACTGCTGGTAGGGTGAAAATACTAGCAATGTACTTGTCTAGCCCAGTTTTCTTAAATATATCTGCCAAAAATACTGAAACCAAGTTTTAAGACTGCATAAATATCGCGACATAATTCACTTTACTTACCATGTCACGACATTCTACATACTAAAAAAGCTGAAAAATTCGAATAAAAATGAGCACCTACCTGCTTTGCAGCCCTGCACGTAACGAAAAAACAAAACACCGTTCTACATTGCCAGCTTTTTGACAATTGCATACGTCAACACGTTTAGTTCGGCTCACGTCGGAACTGTTGTAGATGGCGCAAAAATCATTACCCCGTTTTGACCACTAATTTTTCCTACCCTGCAACTAGCGAAGCGAGTGCTCAAGAAAACGTGGGCGGATAATACATCGCGCTTGATGCGGCCACGATCATGCGACATCTAGCGGCACGACCGACGAAGACACGAAATGCCTGTGAGATAATCCACCGTGAAGAAAGGCTGTGATGCGCCACGTTATAAAAACTAAGGTTTATGCATGGTTCAGGCGCGAGCTCTGACCACAGACGGACGGACAGACGTTTTGCTGTCACTCCATTTTTTGGTACCAAGGACCCAAAATATCTTACTAAAGAACGTTTTAAATGAAGTAGTTTGTACGAAGACAAATATACTACATGTATCATTCCATTTCCGATGAAATAATTTTCAGCGTGAGAAATACAGGGGCGACACGCGGCTCCTACAAGTCGTGAGAATTTATCAAATTAAATAATGAGTGTATATCAGGATTAAAAATAGTAATAATAGCAATAATAAGTCTTACTGCGACAATACATAATAATTAATTAACAATAATATTAGTAGTGACAACAGTTTTCAGCGAAAGAAGTTCTTACCACCTGCCAAGGAATGAAGCCCAAAAATTTCTGGGGGGTAAGGGGCCCCACACCCTAACCCCGTCCCCAGGAACGTGCCAATGCCTAGTGGAAGGATGGGAATGAAATGTCTTGGGTATTGATCGACCAAGAATAACGCGTGTTGTGGTTTTGACACAAGCCTACTGCTCTTTGTCGCTCGGTACTATTATAAACAAGCCAGGTAGACGATAGCAACGGCACTGCAGCGATTGTGAACGAATGAGTTGTGGACGGGAAGGTGGCAGGTGACGTGTGGACAGAACGCGTGTGAAGTGCTGTCAAAATGCGACACGAGTGATCGCGACCTCTAAGCAGGTGGTGGGTATATTATGAAGCTTAGATTCGGGGTCTCCCACGCGGCGCCTACGTGTACCTACGGAAGCGGATTTCCGGAAATGACAATATAATGTATTTCAGGAAGCAGGTTATGCTGGATGTCAGTTACGAGGTTACGTGGGAGAAAGTGACCCTCTGAATAAGGTTCCTGGGAGGATGTTGGACTATGAAGATGATTACTTTTTAGAAGAAGACAAAATGTAAGTATTGCGAGTAAGTGTGCGGGAGTAAGACTATGTGTTAACGTTTGTGGAAAACATAAGGAAATTGGTGAGTTTTTATTGTATGTCAAATTTCAGTAGTGCGATTTATCAAAGTATATAGGCAAAGATTGTAGAAAGACACAGTTGTTTTTTTTCTTTTGGTTTTTGTTTTATTTTTGGGACAAAACACTCTTCACAATATTTGCCACATGCAGTTTTGTATTTGTATCTCCTTAATTTTTCCCCATTCGCTTGGATGTTTTCTTTATTTTTATCTACACTTTGTGTAATATTTTATTTTGCCTTTTCAGTTTTTGAGATGTGTAGATGCATTCTTCCTTCTGCTCTGCTGATTTATATTTATGTTGATACCTTGAAGTACGTGTATGCAAGTGTTTGATCTAAATCTCATGGCTTTTCCAAATGTACCATGGGATTACTATACAAATTTTGCTGTCAGCCATGAACTCCTGTGTGCCATGGAAGATCGCATGTATGTTTCTTTAAATTTTATGTAAGAAATATTATTACATTAATACTGATATCATATTTTTCATAAATCAAACTTTCTTTGCATATAGTGCACCCATTTGTATTATTTTGTTAAAAATAGCTTTATAGCTTTCAAACTTTTTAAGTCCTACATCTTCTTGTCTGTTTTAAGTAATTGCTTAGATACCAAAAACACTGCAATGAAAACATTGTTTGGAGAATTGAACATTTCTTTGGGCTGTGTAATGCATTTGGCATTTTTTTGTTAAATATGTTGTAAAACAATTTTAAATAATTATTGCCATGTGTTTTACCAACTATTTAATTCTTTAGAGCTTCTCTTTTAAAATATTGTTTTTTTTTCTTACTTTTCATGTTAGGTGATGTATTTTCATTAATATTTATTCATATAATACAACAAGAATAACTTGTATTATTATTGCTGAACTTTGATTTCTGTAATGTAGAAGATATGCATAGTAATCTCCAGAGGAGATTTAATGATTTAATGTTTCTAATTATCACAAAGGTAGAATATTTTATAGATACTACTTCTTTGTTGTGGTCCTGCTTTCATTTAACATTATTATTTTTGGTAAGATTCATTCCAATAGTTCCTATTTATGTTAAGTATTCTATTTAGTATTGCAATCAAGTAGTGTATTAAAAATTTGTTTGTAAATAAAGTTTGATGATTGTTCAGAATGAAAAAATTGAAATTGTGCACGAGTATTAAAGGGATAATAACTATTATTATTGTTGTTCTTATCATTATTATTATTATTATTATTATTATTATTGACTGGAGTCTAGTAAACAGTACAACTTAAGAAAGTCATTTAAACTGGCACTTCGCGCTGCTCTGGCAAGGGAGAGATCGATGTGTGGAATTATGGGGCCTTTCGGCTGTATCCCTTGGTTAAGAAAAGGTTGTTAGGTTTGACTATCCATTAGGGGGGATGTTATTATTGTTATCATTATTATTATTATTATTATTATTATTATTGTTATTATTATTATTATATCATTATATATATACACACACACTGATATATAATCAAATATGAATATTAAAATTACAATAGGTTATAATATTATTCCTACAATTTTGTTTTTCATTAATTATCTTTTCTAATAAACTTAAACCAGAAAAATATGAAAATTATTAAAACAAAAAATATATAAAAATAAAAAAGCAACTATTACACTTCTGTTTTATTTATATTGAGCTGTCAAGTGCAAATTATAGGATAAAAGGTTGAAATTTTTGGAAACTGTAGAGAATTTACAAGGCTACATTTTTTTTACCCTTTTTATGATATGTTTCAGAACATGACATATTCTGAAAAAAACAACAACAGAAAAGTACTTTTTTCTCGTTTGTTTTTGGTGTAGTGTTAGGGTCAAAATCATTTATAAATGCCTGAAAAATTTGTCAGAACATCTTTACCATGTATAGAAAGTCGCAAGGAGAATTTAAATCAATATTTATAGTCGTTATATGGTTCAAAGAAATTAAACTTATATAAGAAGCTAAAAAACATGATTTTTTTCATTTGTACAAAGTACTTGAGGTAAATTTGTAAATATGGCAAAAAACTTGTTTTTTTTTTTACACTTCAATTTCAATATTGAACAAACAAAAAAAATTCCCCAGGGGCAGATTTTCCTATATTATTCTGCTACCTCCTTTATTTAAATAAAAATATGTTTAATAAGAACTTTGACTCTTTTTCTCCAATACTTATGTGGACTGTTTGGGGTCATTTTTGGCTCCAAACGTTTTACACAATAGTTTACAAGAATCTGATACACACAGATATTATTTGGAATTATAAATTTAGAAAGTGATGCTATTTATAGTCTTTATTTATGTTATCATACTAAATAACAAAGAATAATGTTGTTTCCAGAAAAAACATTCTAGCATATCGTCATAGGTGTCTATCAAACCATTTTATATGTAGGTGTCTATCTTACCAGCATGAGTATGTTTGAAACAGAGCTACCACATAGTAATAGACAAGGTCCCCAAATCATTCAGAAACTGCAATATAATACAATAAAACAGAAATGGACACATTTTAAGAATTTTTCTTTTCTAATTTAGAAAGTCAAATGTAGCATTTGTGACTCCAACTGCATACAAATCAAACTATTTCCAACAAAGAAAAACAACTTAAAAATTTAAAAAGTATACAATACATGTAAAACTGGACATAAATAGCAAATCTAAGTGAAGTTGAAGTGAATAATTTTCATTGTTTAAAAAAAGAATGCAAACATTAATTTAAAATACAAATTTTAATACATGCTCTAATGAAATGACATGTCATCTGAAGCCAAGCCCTGGTAATAATTTAACATAAGTTAAATAACTATTTGAATGGTTGTAAGTTTAGTAATGTATGTTCTAGTAATGTTTATGAATGTATAAGGTAGGTTGTGCAGTCAAAGGAGTGGGAACCTATCCGTTGTTAATGCACTTTATTTCTGTACAACTTGACGTGACTAGCCTTTTAACAGCGCCTAGTGTTTGCTGCGAGAGGCACAGCCGTGCGATGCAGCGCGTGTCGATTCTTGCGAACCCCTGTCCACCCCCTGACCCGGCGCCGGTCTGGCGCTAAGAGTTGGTCTCTGTTGGCCGCCGCCGCCGCTCCGCTCCGCCGGGGCCCCGCAGGCTAGCCGGCGCCCGCGCGCCCTCGCCGCCCACGCCCCACGACAGCGTCGCCCTCCTGGGTTGCGAGCAGCGTCGCCCACCGCCGCTGACGCCGCCGCCGACGTCGCCCCGCCTGCACGCCGTGCAGCCGCCGTAAGTGAGAGAGAGAGACCGCCTTCCTGCTCACCCAGTCGCCCGCCCGAAGGCCGTCGGCGGACACAGCACCTGCGTAGTGGTAGCGCTCTCGCACTCCGTTTGATTCCGGCGTAGACTCCGAGGCAAACGCGTCAGCGCCCTGCCCCCGCCCCAGCCCCCGCCTGCGCCTCCTAGCCCCCGCCTAGACGCCTCCCGGCCCGGGCGAGTGCGACGGCTGCAGCGGAGGACTGTTCCAGGGGAATGACGGTGACGTCCGGCAGCGTGTGCATCCGCAAGGACACTTCCAACCTCATCGGCATCAGCATCGGCGGCGGCGCGCCGCTCTGCCCCTGCCTCTACATCGTGCAGGTCAGAAAAAGGAAAGCTATCGGGCTCTAATGGCTAAATCGTAGATATCGGTCGGCCGATATTTATCCAGATGAATTATGCGATGTGATAACCTGGTGATTTGATGTTTCTTCTTGATAACAATTCTTATGTAATTCATTTTTTAATGACAAGTGTAATTTTCTTTTTCCATTTCTCACTATCATTATGAATTTTGGAAAATCCAAATATTAACTCCGATAATTTATAATCCTACATTTTTGCTTTAAATAGAATTTAAATTCTATGTTTATTAATTTGTATTCTTTTGGGGCTAAATTATAAATATTCCAAATTTCAATGAAGTTATTTTTTTTAATGAATCAAATTTGATTCTTCGTTGTTTTTATAGATACCTAGCTCTATTAATGGATCAGCTTTAATTGCCAGATGTTATTTTTAAAAACCTCTTAATTTTCACTCTCTTAGTTTTATTTTAATTCTTTTAAATAATGTTTGAGATTTTACTTCCATTACTTAAGGTTCTTTTTTAGTCTTATACTGAGAGGACTCTACATTAGTTTGGATGTTGTGAAGTAAAATTTGTTTTCTCAAAATACTTTTGGCTACATGATTACAAAAATCATTCTTTCTCAGTAAACTTGATACCTTATACAGATTTTGTAGTGCTGTATTCAGATTTAAGTAATTCTCAATATTGCTCAAAGTCATTGAAGGACAAATAAAATATAAATTGTTAGAAATTCAAAAATTAAATAAAAAAACATTAACAAATTTAGCATGTTTACAGTTTCTCTAATACATCTTTTCAGTTTTTCAAATTTTAATTCTAATGTTGCATTAAAAAAAATTTTACCAGTATTTACTAACTTATGTGGTGAAAAACATCAATAATTAGTTTCATTTATTTGGCCAATTTTTCAGTTGCTATCCAATGTAGATTATTTTCATTAGAAACTACATTCATTTATTCACCCATTTACTCATATTTCATTCTGAAATTCAACAGAAATATTCCTTACTTCAGTAAAATACTGACGTAATAGTGTGTAATGTGATGAAAAGATTTAGAATAAAAAAATATAAATAGGTTATGTACAGAGATTTGTCCTTCAGTTCAAAATATATAGATTACCAATTATTTGGCCAAATTATTTTGTATGTGTATATATATATATATATATATATATATATATATATATATATATATATATAAAAAATACATATTTGGGTTGAATATCTTAAAATTATGAAGCTATTATTTACTTGGTAATCAGGTATTTGACAATACTCCTGCTGCTAAAGAGGGCACACTACAAAGTGGTGATGAGCTAGTTGGTGTTAACGGAGCCTCTGTAAAAGGCAAAACAAAAGTTGAAGTTGCAAAAATGATACAAGGATGTAAGGTAAGTTTCTATACTGAACCCTAACACTTAGTGTTCTGTTGTAAAACAATATATGGGTATGTTAATGGATTTTGTTGTGCAGGATGAAGTGAATATAAACTATAACAAGCTTCATGCAGATCCCCAGCAAGGTCGCACACTTGATATCGTCCTGAAGAAGGCAAAACATCGCCTTGTAGAAAACATGAGTACAGCAACTGCTGATGCTCTGGGACTATCACGGGCCATTCTCTGCAATGACACCTTGGTGCGTCGGCTAGAAGAGCTAGAGCAGACAGAACTGATGTACCGTGGCCTTGTGGATCATGCAAAGAGAGTTTTGAAAGCATTTTTTGATCTCCTTCAAGTCTACAAAGGTTTTCTTTCAAATTCCTTTTTTGTCTATTTGTTGTTGTAGTTGTGGCCACTAATTGGAGGACTGAGATTCACAGCAGTGCTTTCAGGTTGTTGATGAAGGTCTTGATACTTGTTCTTCACACTCAACAAACTCAATTGATTTTATCTACTCCAATCAATAGGGGGTTTTTTACAAGGTCAAATGCTAGAAGTGCTTTTCTAGAATACAATAATACAAAAGCACTGATGTATATGAAATTGATGACACTATGACTCCCAACACCTTATTATTGCTTATTACTTACATGTAGAAGATGGACTAATAGAACATCAATTAATATGTCATATTAATTTGATTTTTCAAGCTATTGAAATGCATTTTTTATGAACATTTTCTCTTTCACTTAACTTTCTTTCTCGAATTGTATTTGACAACAGGATAATACTTAACAAGATAGGAGCTAATTAGTGTTATACTGGAAGCTATTAATGTAAGATTGCTTAATTAAGCTTTGCAAAAATCCAAAATCCATTAATCTATTTCAATTTAAATGAATAAAAAAAGTATTATTGTCCCACTTATGCAATCAGTTAAGATTATTGTAGGCCACATAATTGGACAGAAATGTGATGATTTAGAAAGAAATACAGAAATACAACAAAACAAATGGAAGTATAAAGGTTTGCAGAGATTCATCCTATGTAGTTACAACTATTTGCATGAGAACATATAAAACATTAATTTGAATCACTTTATTCATCTCGGAACTGTAAAAAACATGTACACATAAAGTAACAATTTTGTACAGAAGCAGAACAAGGGGCCATCACAGCATTTGATCAAAGGATGAGGGAAACTGGATGAAAAACCGTGATTGAGATAGATTGGTCATTGACCCAAAAGCGCAGATACAAAATTTGTTACAGGCATATGTCATCTTGCAGAATTATACAATCCAAATGGTAACATTAAATATTATTGTTAAAATCAACTTACTAAAGTACAAAATTATTGAATCGACCTAAAGCAGAGAATCATTTGCTGTGAAATGTATGTATTTTAGTGACCTGACAAATTGTGTTGCAGAACCTTGTACAGTAGTAAATAGAATGAATTTGATTTTGAATGATTGTAGGTGGTGACAAATTCAAAATTGATATTTTATGAATGTGACTGAAGAAAGTACTGTTTTTTACAATTTCTAATTAGAAAAAATGAAATCAAAGCTTAAGAAGAATGTATACCATTTGATGCCCAAGAAAAGTGATATATTTACAAAAAAAATAGTTTTTTGTTGGTTAAATGAAGAAATGTGTTTTGAATAAGTCTATTTTTGTGCAAAAATGATAAAGCTGTCTGTGTACAGCTGGTAGTTGTGTAAACTGCTTTATCTTTAATCACTGCATTTATAGTTCTTTTTTGGAAGAGAAAAAGAAACCTGTTCCTCTATAAAACGACTATTTTTAAAGTTGCTTTTCTTGTGCCCCAACAATTTTTTGATTTCTAGCCACCCTGTCAACTTCTGCATTTCTATCTCATTTTTGCATTTGTATTTAGGGCCTACTGTTATTGGTTTATAAATTCAGCATTTTAGAGGTATAATTTATTCCAGAATATGTTACCATAATAATGAAATTAGTTCAGAAAGCAATTGATATAATTATATAAGGCCTTGTGATAATTTAATACTTGTGTCTTTGATTTATGTACTTGTCGGACTCATTTTGAAATAATTTTGCAAGTAAACCATTGGCAAATTAAGGCTTTTATAAGAGGCACCACAATTATAGATTAAAAAAAAATTTGCAAAGAAAACTGTGTCATCTAAACCAGCAAATACGTATCTCAACTGATATGGAAAATCATTGAAACAATTTGTAATGAACATTCAAGTTTATTTCCGATTTTAATATATCGGTACTTTTAATTTACACATTATTCAAAATGAAATTATATTAGATTATTTAAGATTATAAAATTATTAATATTGTCATTCCTGAATTCAGCTTTCGGTGATACATTTGCTGCAATTGGAGTTCGAGAACCTCAGCCCCGTGCAAGTGAGGCCTTTCGACAGTTTGGCGATAATCATCGTCAGATGGAAAAATATGGTATCAAAATGCTTAAGGCTGTTAAGCCAGTAAGTGGTGTTGTACCCTTTCACAAATATTTACATATTTTTCAATATAATATAGAAGAAAACAGGTTAAAACCTCGTCAATTAATTGAACACCATGATAGTTCAAACTATCAGGCAGGAGGGTGGAAAAATCAGCAAAATAGTTTGCAGTATTAATTTACACTACAAAAATATAAACAAGATTTTTAATTACAGATTTTATCAGACCTTGGAACATATCTTTACAAGGCAATTCCAGACACAAAACTTACAATTCGTAAGTATGCAGATGCAAAGTTTGAGTACCTGTCTTATTGTTTAAAAGTTAAAGAAATGGATGATGAAGAATATAGTTATGGAGCTCTTCAAGAACCTTTGTATCGTGTTGAAACAGGAAACTATGAGTACAGGTAAACTTGTGTTTGCTTTCATTAAGAGGAACATGCAAAATACGAAAACAATTTTCAGCCTGCTTAGCTTTTTTTCTTCACATTACCTATATTTGTTCAAGCTTTTGCATGAATGTTTAATGGGACAGAACAGATGAAAATTTTTGATTTTCTATTAAGACCTTATATTTTTTTATATTTATGTAGCGTTCTTAAAGATGAGTAGGAAATTATGACTTAGTATACACCAATCAGAAGAGTGTACTAAACTTCAAAAATTGTTTTCCATTTAATCAGATATTATTGAATATTTTTAATGTTAAGAGTTGACAATAATAATTATTATTGAAATCAAAAAAACTGCCATGGGTGGTTTCAGTTGCAAAAAGAAATTTTGTGTTTTATAACTCATTAAATTACTTTTTAACTGCAGTATATCAAAAAAATTTTACAAAGTTAAATTTGCATTAATTTGTGTGATAACTGACCAGAACTATGTCCATAGTCTTCAGAGTCACTTGTCTACCTCATGGTTTTAGTTTACATCCTACAGCTGACAGAACAGAACTGATATATATAACACGTTTATCATTCCTGCAAAAAATATCATTACAAGAAGAATGTATGTGATTTCCCAGCAATTGACTTAATGATAACTGTGCAATCTCTGCAATCTAAATGTTCTTTTCCAGGCTTATTCTACGCTGTCGCCAAGATGCTCGTGCTCGGTTTGCACGATTACGTTCTGATGTTTTGGTAAAGCTGGAATTGCTTGATAATAAACATGTTCAGGATGTAGTGTGGCAATTACAACGTCTGGTAGCTGGACTTGCAGAGTTCCATGAAGAGACATTGACTTTATTGAAAGGAAGCTCCCTTTTCCCTATTGAAGTGGATTTGACACGTTCAGCATTCCAATACAAATCAACAGCTCCAATTGTTCAGGTTGTAGATTAGGTTATAGAATAAAGATAAAGATATATATATATATATATAAATGTTTGATAAATTAATATTGTTTCTTATAGTACCATCATTTTTATCAGTGTAATTCGATGCTTGAGTTTTATTATATACATCTTAAAATGTATGTTCTTAGTTATTTGGCTACCTTTCCATTTTTCGACATTTGTGCTCAATATTATGGTTTGCTAATAAAAACATCATTATTTTTAGGATGGTGATGGTGATGGTGACGAAGACGATGATGATGACCTATTGCAAGCAGATGAAGCAAAGGAAGAGGAAGATGAACCAGAAGAGGAGGTTACTACTGCACTGATTCCTGGACTTACAGATTAATGTATATAAATTAAAATATATTAATATAGGAACTTTCTGGGAATAATTTGCACTAGTCAGAAGAAAAAATGTGCTTCCAGAAATTATCAGAGAATGAAGAAAAAATCAGTTGGGAATTATTTAATCATTTTATATAAACAAGTGAAAAATATTAACTGTAAACTGTGCCTAGTCATCACACAAGTCAACAATATTTGCTTTGAGTACAATCTAATGTTGTGACAGTCTGTGTTTTTAGTCAGTACTAGTCTCTATGTTTCAGAGTGTAAAAGTGTCATGTAATAAAATACGATTTTATATTTGACAAAATAAAATATGGGTTAGCAAAAATGTAATTTTTCAAATCTTAATTCTAACTAACATTGGACGGACTGAGGTATTTTCAACTTTTCCAGAACGTGAAACTAAGGAACTGCGTTTTCTCTTTCATACTCATTTTGTATTTTTGCATTGATTTTCTCTTCATCCAATATCACCTAGAAAGTTCAAATGCATCCATGAGGTTAAATTTAACCAATGTGTAGTACATTATTCCAAACGGGGTAAATACTAAAATGGCAATATAAAATTTACCTCATTTTTAAATTGTAAGAATTTTTCATTTGTTTCAACTTTCTCAAATGTCTCAAGGTATTTCGTACGAAATAACAAAACTGTATCCACATGAGTTTTATGTTTTACTGCCAATTCCAGAGCCCTTGGAAAAAAAAACAGAGCACAGAATAATATCTCGAATTTACTTCAAGCCACACAATCAATGCCAAACATCAATACAGAATGATTTGCAACATGTTCCATGCTAAGACAAGTAAATCAATATGTGCCACAATAACTGTTTGCATAAAAACAAAGATTAATAAGTTAAATTGAATAGTTACAATATTGATATAACTTTTTGTGTTGGACAATTGATAGAACTTTTTGTAAAACATCCTATTAAATGAAGGCACTTTAAACATATTCAGTTATGAAAGACAGTTCCAGTTAAAATTCTAATCAAAAACTTACCTCTGCCAATTATGTAATTGAATATGAGTCATTATTGCATGAAATATTCGTCCATTCTGCAATAACATGCTCTCAGCATCTTGAATATTACCTCCAAGTAATGCCATTTCTGCTGCTTGAGCGTGTCGCATAGGGACTTTCTACAAACAAATTAATTCATTTTTAAGTTGCTTATAATCTAACCCATGTGGATGACTGAGGAATTACCTTCAAAAATTCACTACTTTATTTAATCTTTCCTTTCTAATTCTTGTAACCAATACACATAAGACACGCACGCACACACGTGTCAGTAAAACTGGAATGAATAGAGCAAGCTCCCTATTAGGAAAATCTGTATTGACAAGAATGCAAATGTTCCAAGCCCCTGGGGAGTGGTAGGGTCCACTACCATACCAGAATTAATTAATGATAATATCACAGTTGTATCTTGGAGCACCTTTAGAGAAAATATAATAAAGATGATATTACTTATGAGTGAGCCAGCTGGTAGATGAGGTTGCTAAGACAAGTGCAGTGGCTAGATCGGTTTGGTGAGCCATGGATTCGAGTTACTCGTAGAAATGGTTGTTTACCTGTGTGCTGTGGCATATTACAACTCTTTATGTTATACTATCTCAGTGAAGATAGTTTTGTGAAAACTTCTTGGCCCCAAAACAAATTATATTTCAAAATATCTGAATTTACCTTGATGTACTGTATGTATTCGACTTTATCGTTCTCATCAATTGCTGCATAAGCTTCTTCAGCTGTAGCAAGATTTTTTGCGTGTGTTGCCATTGCAGCTAGGCAGGCCCATAGAGCTGTGTCCTGTTTGAAGTAAAAAACAAACAAACAAACAACTTTTTAAACACATTAATAATCTATATTTTCCCCAATTCTGTGATATAATGAGAAAGTACATATTTTCAATAACAATTGTGATCTTTAATTTCTTGTTTATAAAGTACTAAGATATAATATGAATAAGTGGACACTGTGACCTTCACAATTCTGCACAATCGTAATGCATCATCCCAGTGATTGGAAGCTGTATATCCATGTAAAACAGCTTGGAATGGAGAGATGGCAGAGTTCACAAGTGAACCATCAACTCGTCGAATACCAATATGATTTCCAACAAAACTCACAATCATTGGATTTTTACCATATTCACTTTGGGAAAAAATTAGACATTTTATTCATTATTGACATAAACCAAATAATAATATATCATTACATTGTTGTACAAATAACAAATTACCTAGCATCTTTGATAAGAAGAGTTTTCTTCAATAATCTTTTATCAACATACAAGACATTTGGATAATACCAAACAGTTAAATTCATATCTTGAACTGCAGCTAGCATATTGGTGTCACTATTCCAACACAAAGACTGGATCATTGAACCTGTGTTAAACAGAATATGTTAAGGTTTTCAAGAAAATGAAAATGTTCATCACAATGTGATATTTTTGAACATCAGTATGACAGTCTATAACATCAATATAATTTGTTGGCAACTTGCAATATTAAGGTTAAAACTTGAATGTAATATGTAAAAGAAAGACACCAACCAAGTTTACGAAGCTTTCGGGAAGAAGAACCTCGAACAGTACTTAAGTACAAGTCTCTATTTCGATCCAGCACAGTGAGTTGACGCTCTGCTGCTGTTCCTGCTTGGCTTAGTGCAACATCAATTACTCCCAATGAATGATTCAAAGGTGGCAAGTCAGATAGACTGCGAGCTGTTCCCACCTCAAAAAGAAGCACCACTGCAGAAAATAAAATTCTCACTTACTTACATCTTTCATTCTAAATATTACATATAATATTTTTCAACAAAGCCTTTCCATACACCAAACACAAAAAGGAAAGTAGCTTTTCCTAAAATGTTCTTTAATGAGAATTTTTTGGACTGCTTTGAGAATTAAATGTAACATGCATCATTTCACAAAATGAATAATATTAAAATTACTGTAATGTGCCCTTATTTACTTGAAGGAATACATGACAAGAAGATCTTACCTTTGTCATCTACTTGGTCTCTGACAGCTATTGTGTCAGGACTAATACTAACACTACTTTCATTGAGAGTATCAGGCTGCATGGCTTGCCAACGAGGAGAACATAATAGTCTCCCTTCATAACTATACAGTCCAGCAGTTGTCTTCTCAACCAATAGAAAATGCCTAAATTTTGGATTATAACTTTGAAATCATCAAATTATAAGTCATTACTTTTCCATTAAAATTTAATAAATTCAATTTTCTTACCTTGCAGCCAACTGAAGCATGCATACAGACCCTTCACGCAATTCAAAGATGACTGGTGTGTTCCAATTTGAAGTGCTGTAAATGTGGCACTGAGTAGGAGTCACTACTACTAAATGCCCGTATTGGAGGGCCAACTTGATTACCCGATCCGGAAACTCTAACTTCTCACGAGCTTCATTACTCACATTCCGGACTGATATGCTTTTACGCCCTGTGACAATAGCTTCGTAATCATTCCATTCGAGGCGTCTATAAAAGAATAATATCTTTATAAGATTATTTCTGTAATGCATGCAATATTTTGGAGAACCACATTACACTAGGAAGAATGTTTCTATTATGAGATTCTTGATATCTGTTCACAAAGGTATGCATTGTCAGTCTTAAATTATTTAAACTAATCCAAGCCAAAGCCTCAGTTTGTTATACACAAGTGGCTTTAGCTTGGATTAAACAATAATGAACATTATATGACTGATACAATGAAGTTATTAGCAACCTTTCAATGATGTGTGCAAAGATAATATGACCATTTCCACAGGCACCTGCCACCTGTGTTCCATCACTTGACCATGCAATGTTAAACACACTACCAGTATTGGGTTTCTCTAGTGAATAAGACCACTGCAACAAAAAACTTGTTAGTGAACTCAAACTACTAAAAATTAAACATGCTAATTACTCTTACTATGCACTATTAACTTCAGAATGCATTCATTCAATATTAAGTTGAAATGTGGAAAGGTGAAATGTTGGAGAGAGAGAGAGAGAGGAGGAAAAAAAAGAGAGAGATATGGAATATCATACTCCGGTTTTGTCACATAAACGCAAAGTGTTGTACGAGCCCATTGCAAACAGATCACCCATTGGAGACCACGCTAAAGCTGTGATGGGATAATCATGTGGGTGACTACCATACAATTGTCGCCCATAGGTGTCCCAAACCTGTATATAATACAAAATAAATTATATATTTTGCCAATAATTTAACATTAAATTAATTGAATTTAAATTATTATAGTTGTCAATTTTTATCATAAATTTATTTAACAAAAATCTGAAAAGGTAGAAGATACTCACTTTGTAACGACAATCTTCTCCTCCAGAAACAATTAAATTGTTACTAGGATTCCATGCAACTTTCAGAATAATACCGTCATGTGCTTTCCACTGCAATATGAGTAAGAGTAGAGTTATTAAGATCATTACATTTATGCCCAAAAAGGTTTGTGCCCCATGAAGTTTGCATTTAAAATAGTATTAATATTTGTGTGAAAGTGTGCACATTGAAAAGACGCAAAATTACTTAGAGGATGTAAGTGAATAAATATATTTATAATTCATTATTATGGATATCCTTATTTAATTCACATTACAAATACATTAACACTTTGCAAAAATCCTACCAGTAAATCAAGTATCAAATTTACATAAGAGATCAATAAATATAAACGAATATAGTAGTTCAACCTTTATAAAATGTTAATCTATTATTATACAATGCACATAAGCAAAGCAATGAAGTGCAAATTAATCTAAGTGAAACATTTTGAAAATATTTTAGAAGAAAAATGATCTACATGCACATACAGTATTTTAACAAATTATTCTGCTTTCCTGGATAGATTTGGAAAAATAAAATGTAATTAATAATACACATTTTTGTTGTTTTGAATAAAGAAATGTTTTCTACATTTTTTGAAGCATCTCTGTTGACTAAGCACTTCAGTTGTTATGTAATACATATTGTTATACCAGTTGTTCATACATATTTTATAGCTTTAGCCCATAAGACTTTAAAATATAATAGCGTCAATTAATGAATATGAAGCCCGACAAGCATAGTCATGCTCAAACCATCACTCCTATCAAAAAACTGCGAGTAACTTTTTCCACTAGGAGCCAAACATTATGAATTCTCATCCAATTTTAAGTGACATGCGAGTTACTATGTGAAATGTAAATCTCATATTCTTCAGTTTTCTCCAAGTGACGAATGTAAAAGGAAAGAATATAAAAAATGTTTTATCAAAATTAGACAGGTGGTATTTTTAATGTAAGTTCATCCAGTGCAAAAACTATACAAATAAAGGCTAAATACAAAAATCTTATGATTACCTTGTTTACTTTGCTGTTGGGTGTTAAAGGTTTAATGACTAACATTTTGCCCAAAGTATGAAGAACTTGATTTGAATCTGGCCCCCATGTAGCAGAATACACAGGAGTATCACTTTGTAAGATTGTAGAACGTAACATTCCACTACGTGACCATATTTTGACCTGTCCATCCTCCCCAGCTGAAAGATATTTATAAAAAATTCAATATTTGTCAAGACCTTTTAACTTCAAAGAAATATCAGATATTTGGAACAGAATACTAGACCAAAGAAATATCTAATAGGCACATTTACATTTTGACTAAAGCTTCAGATACTGTTAAAAAGTTTCTTCAAACAAAAAGGGAATCATGCAAATTAGAAATCATCAACACTTCATGTATTCTCTTTCTTTCAGTTTATGTAGTTCATTTTTCATAACAAATCGCAATAAAGTGACTTCATCATTTTTAAAACCCACTTTGGATGCCCAAAAATGTTTGTAATACAACAGCATGTTTTAAAAATGTTTGTATGATCTCCAGGGGGTGCCCTGAAAAAACAAGAGGCCTGGTTTAGTGGATCCAGAGGGGCCCTTTCACAGAGTGTGTTGGTAACTCTTATTTCAAAGACAAGTCCTCCCCACCCCACAAATACATAAACATAATTATTTCTCCATGCAACCAAAAGAACTTATGCAGTTAATAAAAAAAATAAGTTCTGGGGCTGTCTCCCACTACTTGGTATTACTCATCTGTCAATGCTCTTTTGTGGTTTCTTAAAAAATTAATATTCTCTTTTAAGTAATAAAGTAGGTGAAAAGTAGCATTTCAAGAAATGTTAGTGCCACATCAATTAAGACATGTAGGTAACTAAAACTACACAACTGGTATTTAGCTTTCCTAGGCAATTATGATGGTTAAATAATGATCGAGAACATAGTTTGGTATGTATTGCCTTATCTTCCTTTCCATGACTATCAGAAGAAAATACTCTAGACTTTTCATGGGATTTTTAAGCACACAACCTTTTTTTTCAGAAGAAATTTATAACAGAATAATACAACAATGTTTTAAAAAGAAACCCACTGCTCAAAAGATCAGTATTCATTATAACAATTTGTTCAGTAATGATTCAATACAATTTTGCCATGCAACAGCATCATTTGTTAGAGTGAAAGGAGTTCAATATATCAATATTGTAAGTGTAAAGTACCTGTGAGAAGGCCTGCTCCATCGTAACTCCAACGCCCACTGAGAATTGCTCCTTTGTGGGCTTCGACTGTTTTTTCAAATCTTCCATTCTTATTAATCAAATGATACTTGCCTGACAAATGAAATGACAATTATTAGCAATAAGTAGCAGATAATTGAAAATAAAGAGATACATTATATAATCGGTTCCTTTTACCATCAGCCGCAGTAATGAGTAACAAATCAAGACCTTGTTTCTTTCCATGTGCTCTTGGAAACCAATGAAGGTCAGTTGGATACAAATCAGAAGGTAGATCTGTCACTTTTAGAGTTTCATTTGTAACAAGATTCCACTTGAATAGAATATGATCATCACTATAATAAATATTAATTTTAATTAATTGTTCATTAATTCACAAGCATTATTGAAGTATTATTCAATTTTAGACACTACTCTGTTCTATATTTTTTCTTTTATTCTATGAAGACCGTTAAACCATTTAAATGTAGCAGGGAATGTGTTGAATGATTAATTCAATACTTTACATGACAGTTAATTTTCTCAATTTTAATAGGTTAGATTACTAATTTAAAAAGGAGTTAATACCTCATAAAGACTGTCATTTTTCTTTTATCAAAATTTCATTAAAAAGAAATATTCATTCTCACATTGATCTTACCCACATGTGTACACCTCTTCTGTATTGCACCAACCAACACACCCAACAAGTTCTGTATGTTTCGGCTCTTTGGACATGGAAGTTTTAAATCTCATCTTATTAGCTTTTCCTTGTCAATAACAATCACACTTATATGCTCACAATGAGTTAGTGTTTTGAAAAAAACGTCATGAACAAGAAATTGTCGTAATTCAATCAAATTTTTATAAGTTAATATCTAGATAACACTAATCACGATAAAGTCATCGGTTGTTCATATCTATTTCTTAATAACTGGGAGGCTACAATATTCTTTCCTATACTTTACATTCAATTATGTATTTCGGCCACTCAAAGTTCGTTATAATGTCAAAACTAATTGTTATCTTTGTATGATGCGCCAACACTCCGGCTCAAGGATTCCGTCGACGGAATGTATCGATTTAACAAGAGCGCCGAAGCATGTTGAATTGTTGAAACGGGGACATGGGAGGTGCGCATCTTATGCGAGTTTAGCCAATGAACATCAAATACCAGTTTGCGTCACAATATTAGCGGGAATTTTAAATACAGATACCACAACTTGTTACAAGACATTGAAACAGATTTATGAAGCATTTCTTGTAAATGTTGCATTTTGTACTGCGTAATCGTGTTATTCTCGCTCTCCATGCAACATGGCCGCCAGCGTCTGGTCGCATAATTTTAATTTGTAACAGGTTCGGAAACGTGACGTCACTCGAATCAGCATCGTGCGCGTTATCTAGTGGGACATTTGGAAGCCGTTGAACTATATATGAGAAGCGACATGCTGTATATACTGTAAGGTTAGAATAAATCCTCTTCGTATATTTGGTCTTTATCTTAAGTCGCAACCCATGTCTGGAAATACCACCTCTTGTTTTGGCAATTTGGTAACGCATGGAATACCTTTGGCATCCCTTTTACTTTCAGCGACACCTCGGCTGCGTCCCCTCAAAATTACGGAATGAATGTGGCTAATTTTAGTTGAAAGAACGAGAAAGCACTTATTCTATCCTTGTTAGTCTTATAATTTTAAGGAAATTATATTTTTTTAATCATTTCTTTCAATAATTATTAATTTACTGCGGCGCAGCGGGCGGCGGGCACGCCCTACACAGGCAACGACCCGCATCAGTCGTCATTCACACAGGACGACGCCGCATGGTCAGAGGACCCACTGTGGTGCCGACGATGCCACGTTAACGTGGTGAACGCCATATTGCTATATTCTTTTGTTTTGTTCGCAAATGAAATTTTTTGACATATCTCTCACTTTGTTAATATTTACATTAGCGGTAATTTGTCCACATCATTATATTTATGAGTACATGAGCTTTAAATATTGTCATATAAAGCTTATCGAAAACTCAACAGTTTTGTGTCAAAACTAGCTCAAAATTTCGCATTTTCAGAAATACTCAAACGCCTTTTTCTCAAAAACGGCACCAATTTTTTTCTTCAAACTTTTCAAATAGTTTTAATTGTACTCTTTAAATTATTCAAACAGAACAAAATTGGTTCAACCGTGTGAACTTATTATTTAGAAACGGCCACTTCCTACATAAAGATAAGCATATGTTTAGTTCAGAAGATAAGGTAAGAGGAAGGAGATCTGTGATCGATTACATAATCACTAGACAGTACAATATTTAATCACTTTACTGTACAGACATTATAGTATTTAACTGCATAGTAAAGTAATAGACGTCACGGCACACAGAGACCCAGAATGTAGATCCAGCCACTATCTAGTGAAGGACAAAATTATTTCCATCCATAATACAAAAAGAAACTGAGATAAGAGAACGTAAGGAAGACAAAAATGAAAATAATAAATGTATGAAATATAATAATAATAATAATAAT